CTCAGTGAAGGATTGCAGGAGGTGAGTCAAAATGCCTCTGCGCTTGTACAAAGTGTGCATTTGGCACGTGCACACACAAAGTGTGCGTGCATGCACAAAGCATGCCCACCAAGCCACGGCCACCGAACCAGTGGTGAAAATATTTGAAACACACCACTGATTATCATTATCATCATCACCACCACCACCTTTATTGTCATTGTACATATATACAACAAAATTGATTTTGCTCCCGCTGATGGTATACATAACAAATATAATACAACATTAATAATATACTGTAGTAAATGGTCCTTATACAAGTAATTAGGGAGAAACCAGTCATATGTTTCCATTTATGCAAGGAGTGATTGCAGTTGTATTTACAAGTCTGACAGCCCGTGGATAAAAGCTACATATTGCTACATCAGTTGCAATCATAAAATAATGCAAAAACAGCCACTCTTGCTGGTATTGCTGGATTTCTCCAGTTGTCACTCATTAAATTAGTTCCTCTATTCATCTATTCTATTAACTCAGGATCAGCAAATGTGTGAAGGTGTGGCCAAGAAATGTGGCTAAAACTGAAACCTAATCTGCCACAAATTTTCATGCAATCAGATTTGTCTCATACTCTAAAATGGGATTCTCCAGAGCAAAACAGGAACACAGAACACACCATCAACATGTTTACATCCCTTGTCAAAAATCTGCTTAAAATTATATTAGAGCTCCACTAGCAGATAGTTGAAAGGATAAAGACAACATTACTTTTCATAATACCTGAAAACTAGAAACTCTATTGAAGGAAAAGTAATCCACATAATGCACACCCAAAAGGACTCAAAACTTGCCCTTACTGAGGGCAGATCAATCTGATTGACTTTTTAAAACTTTGCCACCAGTATTTGGACCAAGGTGGTGCTGTAGATTTGGATATTAACAAAGCATTTGATACATTTCCACATAGTGAGTTCATTGCACAGGCTAGGGCTTAACCACTGGGTGATTCAGTGGATAGGAAGTTGGCTCATAGATAGATCTCAGTGTGTGATTGTTAAAGGGGCACTGTCTGAACAAAGGCCGCTCACAAGAGGTATATCACAAGGCTCAGTCCTAGGTCCTATTAATATATTTGTAAGTGATATAACAGAAGAATTGCTAGATAAGGTTTTTGCTGATGACATAAAGGTGTATAATAATAAAGGTATGTGACATTCCTGGAGATGTTCATAGCATGGAAAATGATTTGGCATTGCTGGAAAATTGGTCAAAAGTATGGAAACTGCAGTTCAATGTTTTTACAGTAAGTATAAGGTCATACAGTTGGGGAAAAAGAATCCTCTGGCAGGCCACAGTATTGGGGGTACAGTATTAGACGGAAGGAAATGTTTTAGGTGTGGTCATGGCAGATGGCTGCAGAAAGAGCAAAACAGTATGGCTAGGCATCTTTGAACAAAAACAAACTTATGGGATGGATTATTAGAGGGATTGCCAGCAGGAAAAAGGAGGTCCTAATCCTGCTATATAGGGCTTTAATCAGAGTTAGACCCCATTTGAATGCTGTGTCCTGTTCTGGAGACTTCACTTAAAAAAAGATATCAGTAAGATAGAGGAAGTCCAGAGATGGGCAACAAATATGATGCAAGATATGAGAGACAAAACCTATTAGGAGAGATTGGAGGAACTGAATATGTACAGCCTGGAGAAGAGAACGGAAAGTGTGTGTGGGGGGGAATGTGACTGGAACATTTAAATATATTAAAGGCTTGAATAAGGTTCTAGAAATTTCTAGCAGTATTTTTAATATTAAGCAAAAATCAAAAACACGGGGGCATAAGCTGAAACTGAGAAGAGGTAAATTCAAAAGTAATGTTAGAAAGCATTACTTCACAGAAAGAGTAGTGGAAACTTTGGAAGAACTTCCAGTAGAGTAATGGCCAATCCTCAAGTTTGCTTGGGAAAAACACATTTCCATCATCTGACAAAATAAAAAATAAAATAAAAATTAATAAAATATAATGTGTTCATCTTCAGCTTCTACTGTCTTTCCATCTTAAAAAGGTAAAAATAAAGGTTTTCCTTATCCAGTTGTGTCTGATTCTAAGAAGTGATGCTCGTCTCCATTTCTTAGCTGAGGGAGTCAACTTTATCCAAAGACATTTCTATAGTCATGTAGCCAGCATGACTATATGTCAAGGAGCAAGGAACACTGTTACCTTTCTACTGAAGTGGTACCTGTTTGTGTACTTGCACTTACATGCTAATACTTTGCCAATTTTATAAGCAACCTTTCCAAGTAGTTCTTAAGAAATGATATCTATCTTTGCTGTCATACCCTGAACTTTAAGTCTTGATCAAGGAAAACTTTCATTTCCTTTATGCTATATAAATTACAGTTTTATCATGGAAGTGGAGGACAAAATAAATGACCCAATCAAAATTGTGTAAAAGCATTGACTGAAATATACCATAGGTGGCCAAAGATTTTTAGAGCACCTGTCTCCAAGATTTCTTGCCCTTGACTGGAGCCCTTGGACAACCCTTTAGAACATCGAATATGCATAAATTAAATATGAAAGCTCTGAAAATCTATAGGTACAACACTTGTAGCCAGATTGTAGCCAAACATGACTGACGTTCTTTGATTTCATTTTTCCACTGCAGAATGATTTTTAAGACCTCCTACAATGAAATCTGTCCTCTGAAGTTTTCCTGATTGATTGCTTTATGTCCTATCAAGTTGGTGTTAATTCTTAGTCACACACATTTTCTTCAGTCCCCAATTTGGTGCCAACAATGCACCTATTGCTATTGTACTTGAGTCTACCCAATTGCTGCTGAACATCTTTTTACTGTATTTCCCAGTATTATAGACTTCTCAGAGAGTGAGATCTTCACATGTGCCCAAATATGAACAAAGTTATCCTACTATGACATCTTCTCATAGAAATCCTTCTCTGTACATTTAGGGCAAGACAAGGCAACACACCTCAAGGTTGAATTATTTCCCTCATCCTAGAAATATGTCTAATTATAAAAATAATCAAAAGTACTTTTACTTTACTTAAGACATACGGTAAACTGCTCAGTGGTTAAGATGCTGAGCTTGTCAATCAGGAAGGTTAGCAGTTTGGAGGTTTGAATCCCTAGCACTGTGTAATGGAGTGAGCTCCCGTTACTTATCCCAGCTTCTGCCAACCTAGCAGTTCGAATGCATGTAAAAATGCAAGTAGAAAAATTGAGACCACTTTGGTGGGAAGGTAACAGCATTCCATGCGCCTTCAGCATTTAGCCATGCCGGCCACAACCATGGAAACATCTTTGGACAGCGCTGGCTCTTTGGCTTTGTAATGGAGATAAGCACCAGCCCCTAGAGCCGGAAACAATTAGCATGTATGTGTGAGGGGAACCTTTACCTTTAAACTTGATTAGTTTTCTAATACTCTTTGGTTTATTCTCTACAGAAAAAAACTATATAATCCCACAACACAGACTATCCTGTACTTAAAAAATAAATAATTTTATGGTTCTATTTTTCTGCTGTTTTAAGGAATTTAGATTGATTACATAGGACAATACAGCATAAGAATAAGCAATGACACATGCTGCACTGACTGATATTGAATTAATTATGTAACTAAAAGCCCACTACCTATGTTTAAAAAATAATGCAGTTAGAAATCTAAAGGAAACTTTGCAAAAGAAACAAAAAAGAAAATACACACATTTATGTAAGGGAACAATATTTGTAAATTATTCACCAAATAGCAGAGGGATGACTTACCAACGAATGATTTTATCTAAGAACAGCTACTTAAAGTGTGCTGTAGATTGAAATGTGCCTCAATAATTGCCAATATACAAGAACAGAAAATCTATTTTCATTCAATACTTACAAACAAAATCTTCAGCTATAAAGCATATATAGTACCAAAACGTTTGTTATACATCATCTATTTCATACTGGGCATGAAATTATTTGCATTTTTATTGTTGATATATACATCCATGATGCTGAGTGTAATTTGATAGATTTAGTAATCTTTATGTCGGGAATTACTTTAAATTTCATACTTCATAGCTTAAACTTCTGGTATAATTATTTAGATTACATTTGTTCCCTATAATTAGTCTCACGAAGAGTTGCAGAGAATTTGAAAGCTTCCCGTTTTTATTTCTTTCTGAATATCCAATTGCATTTAAAAATAATAATTTAAAAAACATAAACAGGAAGCTGGCATACTACAAAGGAAATCATCAGCCTCTAGCATTTTATTCATTTGCCACAAAGTATTTGGGCTTCACAAAGGTGCCAATGGGGTGATAGAAATTAGCCTGGAGGGCTAGTTTAATTTCCAATAAATTGACATTTGTAACTGTATATGCTCAAACTGGTAGCCATTTTGTTAATAGGCAAGTATTTCATGGTAGCCATTTTATATAACACAACCAGTTATAATTTCAAATATGTCCCAGACCCCAAAGTTTACCTTTCCCTGCCAGAGATGTCCAAATACCATTTTTCTCACCTAAACTTCCTCAGAGCATTGTAATATAATATGAAAACTGCTACAAATAAATTCATAAGTAAGACATGAATTAATCAAAGAAATTAATACTGGATGACTTCCCAATAACTTTAGTGGCCTTTAAAGATGAATACTCTATAGCTATATAGATATAGAAATAGATATAGATGTGGATATATCTGTTCTAGAATATAGCTACAAATTTACTGAATGGGAGCAATTGTTTTTTTTTCCTTAAAAATGCTACTTATCACTGTCAGAAATTGCCTAAGTGGGGATAAAAAAACAAAAAATAAAATAACCATGTGAAATTATAGAAATTAAAATAGTATGAAAATAATACAAAATAAGAGAAACCCAGCATCAATACATCTTACCTAAAGTTTCTATTAGCTTTAGATTATAAGGTTATCTTTCCTTGGTTTCTATCCTTCCATTCAAAATGTAAGGGCTTCCCATAAGCCTTAAGGCATTCTTAGACATACATACCCAAAGAATTGGGATTCCTCCATTTTGCCAAATCCATGGATCATATCTCTATGCTTTCTTCCAGGCAAAAGACCTTGGCAGGTCAGTTGAATGTGGCACTATTTATGAAAGTGAACGCCTGTCACGTGGACTTTTTGAATTAGACAATACATCTTATTTGTTTAGGCTTTCAAAATAGTTAATTATCTAACTATTATCTGATAACTTTGCCTCTTAGGATGGATCAGAATAAACTATCTGTAAATACTGTTTGAAAAGCAGTGTATAAATCTTTTTAAATAAACTACATGAGAAAAAAAATAGACAAAAATTGAAAATTAAATCATGCTCACATTTGATTGTGAAAATAAATATTGTAGGAAAACTGGGAAAGTTATTATTTATTCTGGTTTTAAAAGCAGGGTTTTTTTTTAAAGGAAATGTATAATGTGCTTAGTGTTGCTTCACATTGTGAGATGAGTGACATATAAACTTAATAAATAAAAATAATTAAGAAATTTGATGGAGATTCTCAGTCATTAAGGTCATGGCTGTCCCAAAGGTGTTTTTTCAAGTGGCAACTGGACTTTCTGGTTTTTCTTTGAAGACGTTTCGCTTCTCATCCAAGAAGTTTCTTCAGCTCAAAGAAGTTTCTTGGATGAGAAACGAAACGTCTTCAAAAAAAAACTAGAAAGTCCAGTTGCATCTTGAAAAAGCACCCTTGGGATAATTAAGAAAGTTGTATGTTGTTCAATCGAGGCCATATCCTCTCCCAGCAATCACAGTGAAAAGAAATACAGTGATGTCACCTAAGTGCAACTATTTTAACTTAACAAGCAGGAGAGAATTTCAGGGACTGAATTTGAGAAAGAATTCTTGCTTCTTGAATTAGTACCTTAACTATCAAAAGCCACCAGAAAAGGCAGACACCAAACCTTAGACAGGCAGGAAAGGCCCATCTCTTAACACTTGCCCAAATGACATTGCTTTGAAATTGAAACTGACCATAACAACTTGGGGAAGGATTTATTGCTTCTGGAACTGACAGGTAAACATTCCCTCTCTCTAGCATACATATTCTGTTTACAGCTCAACAGGAAAAACAGACAACAAAAAGTAAAAGCCAGTTAAATTAACAAACCCTGCAATCTTCACCCAACCTAAGATTTAAAAAGTTCATCAGCCCAAGAATTTATCTTGAGCCAAGGGTTGTACAGCAAACTATTTTGTTGCAAAAACGAAACAAGTAGTTTTGAGCTTATGCAATTTAGCTTTTTCTTTGGTTGCCTCTACGGACCGACTAAGACGGTATACATGGCAGCCTAGCTCATTTTGGCCACCAAATCCAGCATTATCCATGGTATATTTTAAAAAACACAATGGAAATTTATCGCTGCCTGCAGTGAATAGCTTTTTCCTTCTCTCTTCGGAAAGGGGGCGCCAAGTGTGTGTTAGTAGGCGGAACACTGAAAGCACCTTGCCCCCAAATCGCCCTAGGCTAGCGTCACTTCTTTAGAAAGCGATTCGTCGATTTGATAAACAACATTTTTCATGTAGCGCTGGTGGCATGTTAGAGCTTTGCTTGCAGAGTCGGACATATACATCTGCTTTGTGAAAACTGCACCTCGTTAATTCTGTCGCCTCAAATAACTTCCATAAGAAAACAGGGAAACCTTATCTTGTTCATAACACACGCAAGGGGTTCAACCCCTGCACGTGTCACTCAGTGGCAAGTATTTACCACTATTTGCGTATACACACAGGGAGCCAATCACGTTAAGATTACAGCCATACGTATCTTAGTGACACACACATACAAGGAAACACGGGTTCGCCGCGCGCGCGCGCGCGCGCGCGCGGGTTAACTGTTCGCAGGTAAACATAAAGCGCTTTGCACGTGCCTGAACTAAAATATTACTATTGGACTAAACGGCCTTTTCGGCTTCGACTCATAAAGGGGCATGCACATCTTTTAATTTATTGAGGGGGGAAAATGAAATATATGCCCGTCTCCTTCGCAGGACATCTGGTTTCCACTACATGCAAGCGGCATGATGTCCCGGCCGCGGCGCGGGTATGTTTTTCGTCGCCCTTTTCACTTCCTGCACCCACAACTCCGGTCTCTTACCTGGGCCGGCACGGCCCAGCCCGGTTCCGCAGTCAGGGTCCTCCTTTCTTTCCGGGCCTCGCTCCGTCCCACAGCCCTGCCCCCGTCACAGCCTTGGTTCCAGCCACAGCCCTTCCTGCCTCCGCGACCCGCCTCCCTCCCTCTCTCTCCCACGACCAGACCCGCCTCCGTTGCCGCCCGAAAGCGGGGGCCGGTACGATTAGCCGAAGCTCCCCTTGTCACAGCCCTCTGTTGTTCATACAGCTAGAGAAGTGGTGGGAGTCTCTAGGCGACTACAAGAAACGCCCGCTTTCCCTTCTTTAAGGAGTGCTGTGTGTGCCAACCTCACCCCGACCGAAAGGCACAACTTCCCCATCAGCCCCTCTCCAAAGCGCGCCAGCCCAACTCGCACACTATACCTTCGGGCCACAAACAGTGCATCAACCGCGCACACACGCACTTCCCCGTCCGGAACCGTACACTCTCACATTCACTTTTGTAGCAGAGTGGGCCCCACCTCCAACCCAATGAATGTACTTTCTTTCAGCCTCAGGAGTCTTTGACTACAGCCCGCGATGCTGTCACAAATTCTTTCCTCTTCAGTATTGGCGTAAAACGGTACGCTTATCCCGTTGAGCTTTTTGAAGGGCTGCGTGCTGCATTCGAATTCTTGATTAGTTTTAAGTTGTTTTGTTTTCTTTCGTTTTCTTTCTGGTTAGGAGCTCAGCCTGTTTACTTCGATCGAATTTAGGAAATGGGCCAGTTCAATAAACAAGTCAGCATTACACAGCACAGTATCACCCCAATCTTACAGTCTTCAGACTTTTTAATTTTTTCCCCTTTGTGCTGCTGCTGCTGTTTGGAATAGGCTTTATCATCCTACACGCACAGCTTTCATGGGGTATGTAAGTTATGGAGGTGGGGGCAGAAACATGGCCTCATTTTGGCCTCTGGTTTGCTCAACGCACAATTAGCATTGCCATTGCTAAACACAACCCAATTTTCTGAGTTCACATGCTGTAACTGCTATAACCTACTGAGCAGGTACTGAATCTCATTGTATAAGGCTGAGTTCTCACCACCACATGCTGACATACACACACAAAACACACAGAACAAAGATCTAATTTTTTGATCTCTACTTTTCTCCGTCTACATTTTTCCTTTGAAAAACCTTCCCAAAACTCACTGGTTCATGGAAATCTTTGGCACAAAAACATTGCCATGCCTAGACAGCCTATGTCTTAAACAGTGAAACATGTAATGACATGAACATGTCTTGTTTGCAAAGGTGCTTCTAGGCAAATAATTCCTAACAGATTTGGGGCACTATTCACTCTTCTTTCTTATCAGTTTTTCATTGTGTTTGCAATGTTATTTGCATTAAGATACAATAATGTCTTGAAAATATGAGCAAACTAATGAGGAAGATTTGTGTCCCCGTCTACATTGGAATACTTTTTATGAAATAGGAAAATTGGAATAAAAGTCTTGTCAGAAATAATGTTGGTCTCTCTTGTGGCAAATTTGCAAGTTTCTGAAGCCCAAAACAGAGTTCTAGAAATTATTCATTAATAGCAGTAATAATATTAGTAACCTGTAGTACAATGCTAGCAAACAGAAACATGTGACAGGTTTTCTTTTATATTGCAGCTCTAACTCAGCCATTTTAAAAAATATTTTCATGTTATGTACTTATATAAACCTACAAAGTAATTATAATGTAGCAGTCAATATAGAACATATACGGCGCAGAGTGTTGGCCGGCGACCAAAGAAGTCGAAAGCAGACTCCAGATAATGGAGATGCGAATGCTCCGATGGTCGGTAGGCCTCACCCTACTCGATCGCGTCAGGAACGAAGAAGTGCGTAGACGGTTCAACGTCGTGCCCATCCCCACGGTCATGAGGCAGTCCCGGCTACGATGGTTCGGCCACGTGAGCCGCGCCAAGGAAGAATCTATCATCAAATCTGCAATGAAGGTGACTGTCGGAGGAGCGAGACCGCGTGGTAGACCTAAGCAACGCTGGATGGACACGATCAAGGCCGATCTAGAGATCGCGAAGGCAGACCCGACATACGTGGTAGACAGAGAGGTGTGGAAGCAGTACCTAAGGACATTAGCGGACCTCGCCCGAGCGCGAGACAAACTCTGAAGAAAAAGAAGAAGTCAATATAGAACATCATTGATCAAACAGTTCATGAATTTATGAAACAGTTCTAATAAGGTACAGAGGAGGAAGCTTGTAAATGCAGGTTCTGAGAACATGAACAGAGAATCTGAACAGCTTCCAGAAATAGATAATCTGCTTGAAAACCTGTATTTCCAAATCTCCAGGTTCCTAGATATCCAATGATCTAAAATAGAATAGAAGAATTTTGGATTAAAACTTAATTAAGAATTAATTTATTTAAATTAACAAAGTTTACATATTGATGTGAATTAGGGAGATGATGTACTGTAATGGTATGTGGGAATGACCTTGGGAGACGTGAAAAGGTGCAGACTAGACACCTGTCAGAAAAAGAAGTAATTCAGTCTTGGGAAGGAATTTTGACATGCCAAACATCTCAGAAGGGACCATCCCTAGTTTCTCGGACAGTAAAAGGAAAAGGCAAGGAAAGGTACTTTCAGACTTTCAAGATTCTGTTAATGTAGTCTTACAATAAAGTTAAAGCTAATATTTCTGACTGTGCTTCTTCTGATATCAGTTGCAAGTCTGAAAATCCCTTCTTGGCCATTCACTATGCTCACATTCCATATGCAGATTCAGCTGCTGCTTGACTGACCATTGTCTTGGTTGTGGTTTTTCCACCTGTCTTCCACGTCATCTGCATATACCATGACAGGTGCCTGCCTGAGTCACTTGTTATAACTTCTTGTTTTGGACTTAATTCATCTTGTCACTTTGGGAACGGATGTGGCCTATTTCTGTCAAGATCATCTTCCTTATTCTCTACAGTACCCCACAAGCAGG